GTGACCCTTGAACGGTGGCTCGCAGGTCCCGCCGCCGAGTTCTCCAGCGGGCCCGACAGCAGCAGGCCAGAGGACGCGGGCCGCCTCCTCGAGCCGCTGGCACAGCGGAGGCGATTCCGCGAACGGCTCTCTTCGGCGGCGCGCCGAGGATGAGGATGAGGAGGATGAGAGTGAGGATGACGATGTTGATGCTGATGCTGATGCTGATGCTGCTGCTGATGCTGATACTGCCTATGATTGTGATGCTGATGCTAATGCTGATGATGATGATGATGCTTCGGATGCTGATGCTGATGATGATGACGTCGGCGACGATGATGATGATGGTGATGCTGATGTTGATGCTGATGCTGATGCTGATGGTGATGCTGATTATGATGATGACTCTGATTATGATGCTGCTGCTGCTGCTGATGATGATGATCATGATGCTGATGCGGATGATGGTGATGACGATGACGATGACGATGACGATGCTGATGATGACTCTGATGATGCTGATGCTGATGCTGATGATGATGGTGATGACGATGATGATGCTGACGATGATGATGACGATGATGATGATGATGATGGTGGTGATGATGATTATGAAGCTGTTTCTGGTGCTGGTGATGATGTTGGCTATGATACTGCTGCTGCTGCTGATGATGATGATGATGATGATGCTGGTGATGATGATGCTGATGATGATGATGCTGATGATGATGATGGTGGTGGCGGTGATGATGCTGATGCTGACGATGCTTATGATTACGACGATGATGCTGATGCTGATGCTGATGATGATGCTGCTGATGATGATGCTGATAATGATGCGGATGATGCTGCTGCTGCTGCTGATGATGATGATGATGCTGTTGCTGATGATGGTGATACTGGTGATGATGACGATGATGATGGTGATGATGATGATGATGATGATGATGATGATGATGATGATGATGATGATGATGATGATGATGATGATGATGATGATGATGATGATGATGATGATGATAATAATCATGTGATGCCGGAGAAAAGCCCCGATGATGATATTTTGAGGGCTGTAGGGCTATAAGGCTATATGGGCGATAGGGCTATTGGGCTATAGAGTAATAGAGCTACAGGGCTATAGAGCTATAGGGCTATAGGGTATAGGGGTACAGGGTTATATAGCTATAGGGCTATACGGCTATAGGACTACAGGGCTATTGAGCTATAGGGCTATAGGGCTATAGAGCTATAGAGCTGTAGGGCTATAGGGCTATAGGGCTATAGGGCACCCCCGGGCACCCCCGGGCACGCCCGGGCACGCCCGGGCACCTGGGCTCCCGGGCACCTGGGCACCCCCGGGCACCCGGGCACCCGGGCGTGCCGCGAAAATCGGCGGCAAACTTAACCTAACTATATGAATCCGCTAGGACCCCTACAGAGGCAAGCTCTGATTGGGGAATTATTTTCAATAATAACAATTATAATACCAATGACAGTGCTGACTGTGCTGTTACTCATAATCATAGTAATAATAATGATGAGGATGAGGATGATGATGAGTATGATGATGATGCTGCTGCTGATGATGATGATGATGCTGCTGATGCTGATGATGCTTGTGATGATGATGCTGATAATGATGATGCTGCTGCTGATGATGATGATGCTGATGATGCTGATGATGATTCTGATGATGATGATGGTGATGCTGATGCTGATGCTGATGATGATGATGATAATGATGATGATGATGATGATGATGATGATGATGATGGTGATGATGATGATGATGATGATGATGATGCCGATGACGACGATGATGATGATGATGATGATGATGATGATGATGCTGATGATGATGATGATGATGATGATGATGATGATGATGATGATGATGATGATGATGATGAGGTGGATGGCGAATTTCGCAACGATGACCGATCCATGTCTGCACAACGTCAAAGGGAGGAGGAGCAGGAGAAGGATTAATTTCGCAACGATTTCCGATGTCTGTGCACCGTCAAAAGGAGGAGGAGCAGGAGGAGCAGGAGGAGGATGAGGAGGTGGAGGAGGAGCAGGATGAGGAGGAGCAGGATGAGGAGGAGCAGGAGGAGGAGGAGGAGGAGGAGGAGGAAGAGGAGGGGTAACGCAACGACCTCCGATCCATATCTGCGCAACGTCAAAAGGAGGAGGAGCAGGAGGAGGAGGAATTTCGGAACGATCTCCGATCCATGTCTGTGCAACGTCAGGAGCAGCAGGAGCAGGAGGAGGAGGAGGAGGAGGAGGAGGAGGAGGAGGAGGGGTAACGCAACGTTCTTCGAATCATGTCTGCGCAATGTCAAAAGGAGGTGTAGGAGGAGGAGGAGGAGGAGGAGGAGGAGGAGGAGGAGGAGGAGGAGAAGGAGGCGGATCCGCGGACGGCCTGTATGCACCGCACCGCGTTGGCGTCTCCCGAGGCGTCGTCGATCTTCGACCCAGGAACGGTACAGCGCATAGCTTTTCGGCCCGCAGGGCCGAAGCGCTATGCACCGTACCGCGCTGGAGCGAGGCCTGAAGGGAGTCCAAACATGGTACGGCGTATGAGTGCCGCTCTCGTGATGTGCAGAGGGCTGGCATCCTCGGCCCGGCTGCTCTGAATCCCCCCTGGCCTTCTGACAAGCCGCTTGCGTCTTCGGGGAGAGCTCCGAGAGCTTCTCAGAAGGAAGGATGCCTTCCGAGCCCTCTAAGAAGGCCCACCCCCTCTGCCTTTCCCCCCTGGGCGCGCCGCCGATCTCCTCGGGGTGGACGTAGCCCAGATCTGCGACGACATGTTTTTTTCAATGGGGGGTGGGGGGGTTCTCTCGAGTTTGGCCGTCGGGGCCCGTATTCGAGCCTGGGGGCTATGAGAAGTGAGCCAGGGTCGAAATGTCGGCCCCGAGGAAGGGGTCGGGACTTCCGGGCCGCTCATTGAAAGACTGATGTCGTCGGATGTCTGGGAGCGGGGGTTAGCTTTCACGGGGGCTGGCCAATTCCTTCTGGTCCCGTCTGGCGGACCCGGGTCTAGGAGCCATGTGCAGCCGATTCCTTCTCCCTCATCCCGCCGACCCGGGTTCGCGGCGTGGCCTGGGCTGGCCCTGGTTGGCGCTGACATGGGCAGTGCTGAGTCACCACAGGGGGGTCGTTGCCTGGAAGGCGAGGGTCGAGGAGGAGGGATGACCGAGGCTCGATGAGGTTTTGGACGTCTTCGGGCGTCTTTTGTGGGTCCTGGGGGCTTGGGGGGCTATTTCCTGGAGGAGTTGGCGACCTCCCTAACCCAGCAGCCACGATAAACACATCAACTTGGTGTTTTGTCGTGCGGGCCCCAGGATGACCTGCAGGTGCCCCTGGAGCGGTTGCGGGTCTCCCGAGGTTTTGCTTTGAACAACTCTCGGAGTGTTTTCATTTTTTTTTTTTTGTTTTCTCTCTCTCTCTCTCTCTATGTATCCCAGTTATCTTGTGGTGTCGGGTCCTCGTTTTGAAGAGAGCCCCCCGCGTCTCCTTCTCTCCTCTCCTCCTCCTCCCGCTCCTCCCTCTTCTCATCCGCCTTAGGCCGCATGCGTCAACGCCACCCAGGACAGCGTTTCGTGGCCCAATAGGGAGCTCCACCGAAGGCTCCAGTGGCAGGGTCCGCATGCGTCAACGCCACCCAGGACAGCGCTTCGTGGCCCCATAGGGGGCTCCACCGAAGGCTCCAGTGGCACAGGCAGCATGCGTCAACGCCACCTAGGACAGCGCTTCGTGGCCCCATAGGGGGCTCCACCGACGGCTCCAGTGGCAGGATCCGCATGCGTCAACGCCACCCAGGACAGCGCTTCGTGGCTCCATAGGGAGCTCCACCGCAGGCTCCAGTGGCACAGGCCGCATGCGTCAACACCACCGTGCACCACCTAGGCAGGGCAGCGCTTCGTGGCACCATATGGGGCTCCACCGAAGGCTCCACTGGCACAGGCCGCATGCGTCAACGCCACCCAGGGAGGCGTTTCGTGGCCCCATAGCGAGCTCCACCGAAGGCTCCAGCGGCACAGGCCGCATGCGTCAATGCCACCCAGGACAGCGCTTCGTGGCCCTATAGGGAGCTATACCGAATGCACCAGTAGCACAGGCTGCATGCGTCAACGCCACCCAGGACAGCGCTTCGTGGCCCCATAGGGGGGCTACACCGAAGGCTCCACTGGCACAGGCAGCATGCGTCAACGCCACCCAGGACAGCGTTTCGTGCCCCCATAGCTCCACCGAAGGCTCCAGTGGCAGGGTCCGCATGCGTCCACGCCACCCAGGACAGCGCTCCGTGGCTCCATAGGGAGCTCCACCGAAGGCTCCAGTGGCAGGGGCCGCATGCGTCAACGCCACCCAGGGCAGCAATGCCAGGGTCCGCATGCGTCAACGCCACCCAGGACAGCGCTTCGTGGCCCCATAGCGAGCTGAACCGAAGGCTCCAGTGGCAGGGTCCGCACACGCCAACGCCACACGTTTCGTGGCTCCATAGGGAGCTCCACCGAAGGCCCCAGTGGCGGTGTCCACATGCGTCCGCGCCACCGATTTCGGCGCACACCTCGCACGTTTCGTGGCCCCATAGGGAGCTCCTAGGCCCGCATGCGTCAGCCACCACCCAGTGCAGCGTTTCGTGGCCCCGTAGGGAAGTCCACCCATTGTCCCACTGGTACCGCCCGCACGCGTCAGCCACCACCCAGACAGAACGACCCCAGTAGCACCGCCCGCATGCGTCTCACCCTACCAGTACGGCGTTGCGTGGCCTCATCGGGAGCACCAGCGAGGGTCGCCGCCCGTATGCGTCAGCCACCACCCAGTACATCGTTTCGTGGCTTCATAGGGAGCCCCACCGAAGGCCCCAATGGCACCGCCCGCATGCGTCTCCCCCACCCGTTACATTAGGCACGTCACTCGCGCGTTTCGTGGCCTCATGGGGAGCTCCACCGGAAGCGGCACCCACAATGCGTTATTCACAATTGCATACCGTTGGGTCTTTCGCCAGGATAAGTTTCATCAATCCTTGCACAATCACATGGGTTCAACAGAAAATGCTACCAACGTTACTTGTTGCAGTGGCGCTTAATTCTCTATCTATCTATACATGTACGCATATCATACGTTG